CTTGAAAAAAACTTGTAGGAAAGTAAAGATCTTTTTCTCAGTTTGTTTGAAAGAAACCATGTGTTTTGTTGCTCTTTTTACTGTCTTCATCAGGGAACACTAGTGTCCCTGGCAACTTACCTTGATGCCTTTGATGCATTTTTTAAATTGCTCCCACTGCTTTCAAAGGCATTCACCAGAGGGTTATGGGGTGGTCAAGCAAAGCAGTCTGGCCAGGCCTGCTGGTATAACACATTCCACAACAGTGGCCACTCATCTATTTTGAAGGAGCCCGGGGACTACTGGGGCTTTCTATGCTTTCACAATGGATGTCCTAGAACTCCCGGGTTTGTGCTGCTGGAACCCAGGCAATTCTCTACTGAATGGGATATTATAAAGTGCTTTGTTCTCCCCTTCTGTAGTTTTCCAAAAATGTGGCCCTCTCTCAGCAACCTACACTTCTTTTGGTTCTTCAGTTGAAAGAAAAAGATGGTTAAGTTGTAATTTTTATGTTATACAGGGTCTAGCAAAAGTAACACCTGCTTGAGTGTGGTTAGTAGGGTAATGATATGGGTGTAATAATTTACAGTTTTAATTTGAACATTTCACCTAAAATGTCATATGGTGTGCTTCAGTCTGATATTGTTACGTTACAGAATTACATGCTTATAACTTTGTAGTAAAAGATTTTGTAATAAAACAGGGGTGTTCTTTGTGCCAGACCCTGTATATGTTTTACCACAATAAAAACAAAATAAAACAAAACATGAACTGCGACCTTAGAAAGCATGAGTTTGAATCTTGTCCCTGCCACTTCCTATCTGTGTGACTTTAGAGAAGTCACATGACTTTAGATCCCCATTCTGTAAAATGAGGATAATAACAGTGCTTTCTTTGCAAGGTTATGTTGAGGATGAAATGAGATTATATATGCAAAATACCCAGCTAACATTTGTCCTGGCTGAATATTTTTGTCTTCTTTGATAGCCCTGTTCACAGTACAGGGTATGGCAAAAGTAGGTTCACAGTTGTTCCTATGGAAAATAACACAGTAATTAAGAAATAATAATACAAGAATAAACTCTGTATTTCACATTAAAAAAAGACAGATGTGTAGGTGGGTGTGTGAGATTTGTAAGTGTGCATGTGCAGAGGGGAGAGTAGAAAGTCCGTCTTGTGAGCAGAGAGGGGGAGCAGACGTTCACCAGCTCGCTGGGCCCAGTGTCCGCCGTAGGCAGTCTCTTCCCCGCGAGGACAGTTTCCGACATTGTGGTGGGGACTTGTTTTAGTTCTGACCCAGATAGAATTTGTACTTAGTTCTCTTCACATGAGAGCAGGGAGAGCAAATTTCATCTCTTCCTTATGTCTTATGTAGAAACACACACATGCACACACATATAAATAAATAATCCATTCAGCCTTTTTACTTGTAGGTGGGCATAGACTTTCATTAATTCCAGACTGGTTTTTTTTTCCTTTGGAGAATCACTTTTGTTCATTCTTAAATTAAGTAGATCCATCATTTTCTTTCCTCCAATGCTCTTCCTATAAAAATATTATTTCTTAAACATCCAAACCACAAAGTTAAACAGCAGGAAACAATGTCCTCACAACTGGGAAGACATGTGTGTGCATGCGTGTTTGCGCATGGGAGAAGGAGGAGAGGTGAGGAGTGGGTGAATGTAGCCGGCATCAGACTGTTCTGATGCAATACAGACCAGGCTGTTAAATACTGAACATATATGGAGGCCTAAGTGGGAAACTTACCGACCAAAAATTGAATCTAAGCTCTAACTCATTTCCAAAGTACTAATGTAGGTCCTTAACATTTACCATATGCACTGTGTACCCAGCATTGTGAGACCAGATTATGGAGAACTTGGGAACCTGAGATCGGTTGCCTAATTAACGTCTTCATGTCCTTGAACGGAGGCAGGGGTGAGGTTATCATGAAATCACGCGTGGAAGCCTGGTGCATGTTCTCCCTGTCTCCCTTACATCATTAGCCATTTCTTTGTCTCTTTGCTTCTGTGCTTTAGGGTACCTTGTGTCAGGCAATCATCATGTGGATGCCTAATAAAGCCCAGAGCATGTAACTATATCTGCATATGTAAATGTATTATATACATATGTCAATTATATAGGTTGCTATCATCATCTCTTTTCCCCACCCCACAGGGGCTTTAGCTACACAGGTGTTCAACTAATCATCATCTTCAAGGAACCAGTTCTCCTCTTCGATGCCTTTGGCTGCTGGAGGCTTAGAACAAATTTGTTGTGTGTGGAAATTATCATCTAGAGGGGGATAGAAGAAGAGAATGAGGCCATTGGCAGCTTGATAACCCAAGAACAGAGAAATTATTTTAAAATAGGCTTTTTTAATTTGGATGTCACGTGTCAATCTAAGTTTTGGAAAGAGAGTCTCCAAGGTTCGTGCGGCCTATATTTGGTTTGAAGTCTTTCACCCTGGCTCTCGGTTTCCCACACCTCTGGGTGGTCAGGGCTGGGGGTGCTGGAGTTGAGTTCATATCATGTCTAACACATCCATGGAGACATCTGGTCCATGCCAAAAAGTCCTCAAAATCTGGTCCTGTCAAAAATGTCCATGAGCATATTTGGTCCATGCCACATGGTCCTTGATTTTTGGTCAGAACATCCCTGCTTTAAAAATATCACTGGGTTCAAAGAGTCCATAGTATTTATTTATACTTTTGGTTTACAGGATTAACACATGACAACTACTAGCAAGGATCAAGGACCTTTTAGCGTGGACCAGATGTCTCAGTGTACATTTCGGACAGGACCACATGTCCTGCAAAGGAAGGAATGTTCTCCTCACCTTGTTCTTTGCTCAGATTTACTCACGTTTATCACAGGGGTGGAGATAGAGGGTAATTGGCCTTCAGCCTTGTACTGGCGAAAGGCCCCCAAATTTGACTTGTGAAACTATCCTCCAAAGAAGGGACACATATGGTTATTAAAATTATTCTTGGGTCAAAAACATTCATTTGCTAAATGTAAACATATGAAAAACATATTTTTTGTAGCAGTGTTTTGGGCATTTTTTCAGTTTTTAATATATTTGTTAAGTTTCCAAGTTTGAAATTGGCTCAGATCTCTCTCAACCTCTGAGAGGCCCTGCATTTACCAGCAAACAGCAGCCAACGTTTAAGGTCCCGTGGGCTTTTGTCCCGTGCCAAGTGACCCAGCCGGCCCCTCTGCTCACAGATCCGAAGAACAGATTAGATTCACTGCAGTTCCTGATCTTCTTATATGAGGACTTCTAAGTGGGTTTTTTTTTTTTTTGACATAAGCGTTTAAGGTTTGCTCTGTATGCTTTTGGAACACTAGCACTTTTTGACTTACAAAAACTAATATTTTACCAGTTGAGCAAGTGCCTTCACTGGGGACATGTCTAGCTATTTAACGTGGAAAGGAAAATAGAATAGGCTGGAATGTCCAGAGTGCATCAAGAAAAAAGTGAAATAAGGTCTGTCAGTATCTGCTCAGAGCACAGTATCAGTGCTCTATCAGAACAAATCAGTGGAAATGAAACTCAGGGCTTAGGCTGTGTGAGCAAAGGGGTGTGTGTGTGTGTCTTTGTGCAAATGGCAGATCAGCACTAAACAGGGCTTATGGGGATGAGGCTAATTCATGCATAAATGGAGCTAGCTTAGAAGGTGGCTTCTAACTGCAAACAAGTCTTTGTTTTGCTTTCCTCTGGGCTGAGATCACTGCCAATGACATTAGAACACTATCTGGGGCCTGTTTTCATCTGGATTCAGAGACTTAGGTCTCTCTCAGACTTTCCAAGAGAAAGTGTCCATTTGGGCCGGTAGGGGAAGCTATGATGCAATCGCATGGTGTGCATTTATTTTTAGAGTACAGTTTCTTGTAGATATCTGTTTTTATACCTATAAACCACATTTTGCTGAATTTTATTATATATGTATTTTTGTTTTAATTTCTCTGATTTTAAAATAATACATGCTTTTTAAAGAAAATTTGAAAAGTATAGGACTGTATACTCTAAAGAAGTTTAAAAAGTATGTATAATCTTAGCAAATGCTGTTATTTAATTTTTAAAATATATTTTGTTGATTATGCTATTACAGTTGTCCCATTTCCCCCCTTCACTCCCCTCTGCCTTGAACATATCCTTCCACACACATATTCCCCACACATATTGAGTTCATGGGGGAGTGAACTAATTCAGTTTAGTTCCCCCCAGTGTTTAGCTCAAACACTGTTATTTTAAGCTAACTGAATTCTAAAAGAATTTTTACTAATTGTTATTAATATCAATGCATATAATTATTTTGCCCCAAAATAACACAAATATTAGACTTTTATGCTTGACCCTGTAAACCTATTTACTATGGCCCTAAAATACTAAGGGACCTATTGAGATGCTATTTAAAATTCAGACATGATATATGATATATGTTCTGAGTCTTTTGTTTAAGTTTTAAAATGAACTGTGATGGCCATTACTCATTGCTTAAGAGTACCAGCTATTGTACTAGATTCTTTACAGTGTGATAACATTATAACAAAAGCACTGTTGCTAGATTTCCATTTTACAAATGGAAAAGTTGAGATGAGGGGTACTAATCAACTTGACCAAGGTTACGCAGCAGTAAGGAGTTGGTGGGCTTTGGAGCAGCCCTGTGTTCTGAAACCCTCAGCATCCTTCTCCTAAACTTGAAAGTGCTCAGTTCCTTAAAGAGATAAGGGCCCAGCCACGTCAGTCAGGATGTATTTGAACACATGAAAGGGCAGCAAAGCACATCCTTTTGCTTTGATTTCAGCAGAAACACGTCTCCTGTATCAAGTGGTGACAAGCTGCCTGGGGGTTTTGCTCCAGTGACAGGCTGGAAATGCATGTGTGTGGCAGGCAGGCCTGTGAGATCACATCCGAAAGCTGGCTGGACTCATTTCAGGCCTTTGGAGTGTTGATGTCGGTCGAGGAGGGGGAGAAGACGCAAACCCTGCTCTTTGGCTTAGAAGATTATGGATCTGCGACTTCAAAAGCTGTTTGCAATTTTATATTTGCATCTCACTGCCAAGGTGCTTGTCTTATCTTCAGTCAGTTGGCTGGGCCTCTCTGAGTAAGTTGGGCGGTTTCCTCCTGAACTTGGAAGGGAGTGGCAGGGGCAAGAAGAGGGCGGGCTGTGGCTGAGACGATTAGGGGAAGGAAGCAAATTAGGCAGAGAGGGGGGCTGGGGGAGCTGGGAACGAGGGCGGAGGGGCAGAGGAGGAAAGGCTGCCTCAGGGTGTATTGGTGTGGGGGGCCCAGCCCTCAAAGCAGAAAGAACAAGGATCCCAGATTCAGAGGGACTGGCTCAGCAGCCTTGAGACCTTGGTCAAGTCGCTAAACCTCTCAAGCCTACATATCCTTTTCTGCACTGTTCACCCTGTTGTCTCTGCTTCTTTCCAGGTTCGGGTTGCCCTGAACACACTCCATGCCCAGTTCGGTGGAGAAGGGAGGATGCTGTCCGGGAGGCAGGCCATCAGGACTGATGTTCTGTTCTCACTCTGTATCAGTTCTCTGACCCTGAGCAAGACAAAGCTTTTGTGACACCCAGTTTCCTCACCTGTCAATCTGTAATAGTACACGCCTTTCTTACCTCACAAGGTTTTGGGGAGGCTCAGGGAGATTGGGCATTTGGAAAGATTTGTAAACTTAAAAGGACTACTCAGCTATTCTAGGTGCTGGGCGAAAAGGTGCAGCTGAGCACGGAGTGTTGGTGGGCTGCCAGGTTCTCACTCAGGGGTGGCAGCAGGGCTCAGTTTGTGAGCCAGCTCTCACCCAGCGCTGGTGGGTGCTTGAGTTCCACTTGGAGAAGGCTTTGGCTGGGCTCAGAGTGCTGGTATTGATTACTAATGTCTGTTATGGACAAAGGAATCGGAGAAGTGGCTCATATGCCATATGTTTGCACTTTTTTCTCTAGCCTAGTGATTCCTAACTCTGGTTGATCATTAGATTCATCTGGGTAACTTGATCAATCTACCCTCAGAATCTACCAGATTTCTGATTTAGGAGGCCAAGGGTGAGACCTGGGATGAGGGCAGAGAATCTTCATTTTTTTTAAAGAGATTTCTTTTCAGGCAGCACTTGGCAACATCACTCATATCTAAAGTTGAGGAGGGCAGAGACTGAGTCTCTCGGACCTGTGAGGGCTGAAGGAACAGAACACAGAGAATTGTGCAACTTCTGTACACAGGGAAGCAAGCTCTAAACATGTGGGTCAGGCCTGCAGGTTTTTGTAGGGCACCTAACTCCTTCCTCATTAAACAAATTGGTTTTATCATCCGTTGCGATGATTCTACCACTGGCTTCAGGCCACATTCTTTTTCCTTGTGGTTCTGATACCAGCTCCAAAAGGGCTGGATCCTGAGATCTATTGCCCACCCCTGCTGCCTGCCGTGAACCTACATCAGTTTGTAACTAGTAGTTTTCATGAATCAGGAAAAAGACGAAATTAGCTTCTTAGGTTAACTAGATGTGCTCTGAAGTCTCTGTTTTACATTTACCCATCTTGACTTTAGTTTTTACTATGAGCCAAACCTGCACACAGCACTGAAATTGTGTGTGGACCTCCCAAACACGCTGGGGAAGCATGAGTGCACTTTATACCTGGATGTGGCAGGTGGAGGAAGAAAGGGACACCCACGTCCCATTCCTCTTAACTGCTGTCACCTGAGAACAAGCATACTGGCTGAAAAGACTTTGGAGAGAGAAGAAAAACTTATACTTAAAAAAAAAAACAAACCCTAATCCCTTCTCATTCAAGAGTCGGAAGAAAGAAACCAAAACTTTGGAAGCCCCAGTGCTAGGATCAGCAATTTTGTCAGAAGACACGGACCATCTGCCTCAGAGCTCAGCATTGTGGGGCCCTCGTCTTAATTCGAGCTCCGAGGGGAGCTCTGGGAAAGGGCCAAAGCCTTTGCTCAGCGGGAGTCGCTTAAGCTCTGGTCGCCGAAGGATGAATGTGGGAGAGTTGCAGTTCTGGACGCCGGGATTGATTCCGTGCTCACAGAGTGGAGATGGGAACTTACAAGTTTTGCTACTTTTGGGGTGTCAATTCCTTAGCAGGAAATATGGGTGTAGGAGGTCTTTGTTCTTTCAGCAGAAGGTGAGGCCTCTGAATCCAGTCTGTATGAGTGACATACAGGGTGGGGCAAAAGGAGGTTTACAATTAATTGTCCATGTGGCAGACCATACAATAATTAATAAATAATACAAGAATAAACTGTGTGCTATCACAACTAGAAATCTTTTGCCCCACCCTGCCTAAGCTGAGAGTCTGCATTCATTTTTCTGCTCTTTCTCCTTCAACCTGAGTTTGTCTGGAAAAAGTATATATAAAAAATACAGATGTGCCCATAGGTGAGGAAGGAGGAGCTGTAATGCTCAGGCATGTGCCTGCGCATTAAACCAGGGGGTGCGGACTGGCAGCCCGGCCCCTGCCGTGCATGTGGCCCTGGCGTTGCTGTGTTTGGTTTGGCACAGTGTTTGAGACACTGAGCGGGGTGCGCTCTCCAGGTGTCCACAGATCCCTATTTTCTTACACCTAGGACTTTCATGATTTATAATTCAGGTCACTGAAGGTGTTGAGGTAGTGAACCCATGGACTAACCTTTTGCCTGCCTTGCATTTTCTGAGATCTTGTGTAAGAGCAAAAAAATAAACTCCGAAGCCTTCGGACATGAAACTGTAGTGTTTGTTTCTCTGAGGCAGTGCCGTCATTTTCTAGCTTTTAATTTCGCAAGCAAGAGGCACATTAGTTGTAGCAAATGACTCTTCAAATTCCAGACACCCCAGGGTGTGTACTGGCTCAGACCTGGAGGTATTTTCAGTTTTTGTTTTATTTTGTTTTGTGTTAAGGATGGGAGTGAGAGGAAATTCAGGGGTGCACAAGAAGGCAAAAGGGCAGGGATGATTGATGGTCACAGAAAGTCCTGACAAATTTGTAGTCAATGTTGTTTGTCTAGAGCAGCTTGTATGACAAAAGAAGTGTCAGCAGCTGCCTGGCGTCTCATTCTTCAGGACGAGGCCTCTGCGTCGTCGGAACTGGGGGCTCTAGTGCAGTGCCTGTCATGGTCGATTGGAAAGATCACTCCAGATGAGTGAGGGCAGCTGACAGTTGTGCATTACAGGGAGAATTTTGTGTGTCTTACAAGGTTGATACTGGCAGCCAAAGTGACTGGCTTTATAGTCTTGTCCTCATTAGGAAGGCCACTGGAAAGAGAAAACCCAAGGAAAGGTTCATATGCATGGATTTAAAGACTTCCATTGTTGCCCTCAATCTTTGCCCCAGTTCTTAGGCTTTTGCTCTGTTCTTGCTTTCCAGTGACTCCATGGAGCAGGCACCAGGCAGGGGATCAGGGAGCAGGAAGAGGAGGAGGGGAAGGGTGGTCTGTCCTCCCGTCTCCCTGACTGGTTTGCCTGGCTGCCAGACCTGGGCACGAACACTTCCAGCCACCACCCCAACACACAACAGGCTCTGCTCTCTTTGTCATTTATGATTTGCTTATCTGCCAACATTTCTCACCCTCAGATGGTGAGGCCTTTGAGGGAGCTGTGGTGTCTTGCCTAGATGAAGTCTGAGAGCTGATACTCTCTAAAGGCTGGACAGTTTGGGGGGTGACTGGTTCCCTGACCTCTCGGGAGCCTGCCGTCTCAGGGCCATTTCCACCAACGTTTGGATGTGTCGGGTGCCAATTGGTCATGGGCCCTTCAGTTTAACTTTCATCTCTGCATTGTGTGTCCGGCATGGTTTTCTGCAGCCTCGTGGTTTTTTGAGACGTGCAGGACCGCTTTTCAGCTTCAGGCTTCTGAGCCTGCTGGGCTCCTTAAGGCCTCAGCCTTCAAGCTGTGAAGTAGTGTTTCGGCTGTGCCATCCTGTAGTGACGGTGGAGGCTGGTGGCACTTCACGGAAAGGACGGGGCCCTGAAGAAGCATAATTAAAAACGTGCATCACCCAGGCAATATTTTCAATGTCGTTTTGCAATTCATTTGGCTAGCCCGCTTTGAAATTATGTGAGTCTTGAAAAGAACTTAAGTTTGGGGCATTTACAATCACTTCAAAATTTGAGCTTGAAGGGATTTTATTAACTTCTAAATATCACTCTATTTCAAATTTGTGTAAAATATAACCACACTAAATCATTCTATTGGAGTTTATGTCTGGTAAGTCTCATAATTTAAAAAAAAAAAACATAATCTAATTTGTTAGGCCAAGTATCCTAAATCCTGCCTATAGAATATAAGTCTAAATCTTTTGTAGGTGAAAGGGTAAGCTAACAGGACTTGAAACATATTTTGAGACCCATGATGGGGTTGCTATTACTACCTTTATCTGTGGCCATTTGACAATGCCTCAAAAACAAATCATTTTAGTTAAATTCAATGAAGATTTATTTAATACCTACCAAGGATTGGGCAGTGTAGCAGATGTTGAGGCTACCACAGGATCAGGAGTTGAAATAAAGTCAGTGGATTAAAATGAAATGATCCAAGAGTTTTAAACTAAACCAACCATGTGTGGCCCTGAACACTAATTAATTCTTTTATTCTCTACTTTTTTATTCCATTCTTTTATGAAGCTGAACATGGCATTGCCAAATGATGTAAGGAGAAATATAACACTTGATCTTAGCCAAAAGGCCAAGAAGTGATAGAAATATGAAAGTATTTACATTTTTGGGAATGCCCAGCAAGGTAATGGAACGTCTATGAATATTCCATTTGAGGTTTAAGCATGTAACTTATAAATTTGACCGTGGAGGCTCCAAGCCACACCCTCACTGCATGTGGCAGGGCAGGTCACTTCTCGTTGTAAGAGTAACTCTCACTAAGGGGCTGCTGTAGGGATCAAGTCCACAAAGTTTCAGAACATGCCTCCCATATTGAAAAATAGTATCTTCAAAAAATGTTTCCCTCTAAGTTTCTGGCTTTGGTATGTATGGAGTGCTTACGCAGTGGGAACTTCGTCAGTGACATAGAACTCCTTCAGTGCCAACCCAACTTCCATTGTCCACCACGGCAGCTTTTAAAGCTCTGGAAAGCAGAACTTGGTGTGCACTGAATATGGAACTCAAACCAGACATCAGATTGTTTTGGTGACTTTTATCTCTCTACTGACAGTATGATACAGAAAATCTTATAATACTAGTTAATGTGGTTTCAATCAAAGTTTTGCTGTAGTTTAGGAACATAGTATTTAAGTGGTGTTTGCACTGTCATCCACACTGAGCTTCGTGGCTGTATGGATGGTCTTGAAAAAATGTCGTCAAATGCTTTTTGAAAGTAAAATAAAAATGTAGCTGATCTGTTCAAAATTAAGTTTCTTGGAAGAACTTCCCATTTTCTGCAATAAACATCCTACCGAGCCTGTTGGTACATATATTGATAAATATGAATTCACTAAATGTGGGTTTGCTTCAAAACAAGATATGCCCAACTAACCTCATTTCCTTTTTTTGATAGAGTGGGGAGGCTGGTGGAGCGGGGAAATGCCACAGATGCAGCGTGTCTGGGTTTCAGGAAGATGCGTGGCAGAGTCTCTGGCGACATCCTTGTGGGAAAGATGAAGACACGTGGATGGGGTGAGAGTGACGTGAAGAGGACTCGGGGCTCGTCGACGGTGATACCAAAGGCACTCAGGAGGGGGGCTTCGGGCTCTGCTTATGGACCCCACCTGTTCAATATCTCGACCTGAGGTGTGGGTGGTCCTAACAGAGAAGAAAAACTCAGAAATGAGAACAGAGAAGTGTATGAAGTTTAAAATAAGCAAATTCTTCATTTCAGTTAAACATGTAGTGTGCGTTTGCAGGCTGGGGGAGGCCTCACTTCCTGTGTGAGAAGGGCTCTGCATTCTTGTTGACTGTGAGCTGTCTGAATGTCAGGGTGATCTAGCTGCTGTGAGAATTAAGGACATTTTCAGCTGCCTTTTAATAAGAAATAGGTTTTGACAGCAAGGAAGGAATAGTCCCACTATGCTCTGCAATTGTCAGACTACATTTAAAGTGTGTCGTTCAGCACTAGACACTGCATTTTGACTTTGTGGACAGAGGTGATAACATGCTGGAGTGAACCTCGACAGTGAAAAGGCTGAAAAACTTTTTTCTACAAGAATGAGTCGGAGGACCTGGGGCCATTGAGGTTGGGAGGAAGAAGACTGGGAGTTGGGGCTGATGACCCGATCCTTGGTTTCAAATATTTAAAGGAATGTCAAGTGGAACAGAAATCATTCTTCTGCATAACTGTAGTAGACAGGGTGAGACCAAAGGTGCAAAACACAGGGCAACAGGAGCTTTCTAAGCAGTGAGAGCTGGTAGAAAATAGGACGATTTGCTCATTCTTGGATACATTCTTGGAGAGGGCATGGGAGGGCTCTTCGGGAAACTTGGGCGGCCATGTGTTAGGATGGGCAGGAGCAGAAGCTGGGGGTTGATGAGCTGGTTGACACTTGAGTTCTGGTCTCACTAGTGGCTGTGTGAATTTGTACTGTTTGCTTACTATCTCCATGTCCCTGATTTCTCATCTGTATAATAACAGTTCCTTCCTCCTATGTTTGTCGTGAGGACTTACATGAAATAATCCATGTAAAATGTTAGCACATTACCTGATACCTACCTAGCAAATGTTCTGCAAATAATGAATCCTGATATAAAGGAGTGTTTAAACAGATGGCCTCCTTTCCTGACTCTTTACATTTCTGATCCATATAAGGCTCACAAGGGACACATATATCTCGGTCATCATCCTAGAAAATGTTTAATTGCATTTGACTGTGTCTTCTTCCCATTGCTCCCACTCAGTGCTCCTTTCAACTCCTTCAGGAGTGCACCTTGACCGTGAGTGTCAGTCTTCTTTTTCTCGAATACATGTCACCAGAAATGAAGTGGCAGTGGCCTCAAGAAGTTGGACTGCCTGCTGAGGGCCGACAGGTGCACTTCTGCTCATTTTCTTGGGAAATGGTGATCACATTATACAGTAAACCAGAGGAGGATATGCCTAAATTAAAATTATGTTAGGAGATTTTTATGCCTACCAGTTTGTTATTGTTTCTATGTCTTTTATTAACATGAGTTTAGTAAGTATTGAAATAATTGTGCAACTAAAAAGAATTATAGTTATTGTTAGAGGACAAGAGATAAATGCAGCAGAGACATAATCATGCATTGTGGTTTTATCTGACTTTCCAGTCTGCGGCAGGACACCCAGGCCACATTTGTTGGAAGTGAAAACCGTTTCCAGGAGTCCAACTTCTCACCCACAGCCACCTATCTCCCCATTGCCTGAACATGCAACAGAAAGACACCAGGGGGCACTCTCGGACCATCTATTACTAAGGTGCTGTAGCTGAGCGGTACCAATTTTTACTTGGGTCTCTCTTTAAATGAAGAGGCAATTTCCAACTTTCAATTGGAAACACTTGGAGTCTGAAGGCTGCTTTGCTAAATAAACCACCACCTAATCCTGGGGTATCAGCAGAGACATTTCACTGAGTGACCACAGACTTCAGATCTTCTGTTCCTCTGCTGAGAATGTCTTCTTCTGAGGGCAGGCGACATGAGCCAGCAGAGGCCTCTGGTCTGGGAATCCAGAGACATGGTGAACATGGTTCCAGCACTGATTTCTTAACCTTCAGCAAATTACTTTCATGCTTCAAATTTCAGTTTTCTCATCTGTAAAATGGAAGACCAGAAAGAATACTCGAAGATCACTTTGAGTTCTAACAACCAATGATTGAATTCCTTCCTTTTTCCTCTCTTCTTCCATTCCTTTCTGGTTAAACAAAAGGAAAAACTATTGACACTGTGTTTGGAGTAGGTTTGCTAAGAGCTAGTTTTGCTGCAGAGACAGCCTGAAGGACTGGCAAAGCCCGCTGTGTGTTGCAGAGCTGGGAGCTGAGCGCCCAGGGTAGACCTCCCTGCCCCTTTGTTCCGGCATGCCTACCATCATGGATGGAGCGGCCGTGGGCCATTGCAGTGCACTACCTTGCAGCCTTGATTTCATTCAAGAATTCTGAAGAAAAGGAAGGCATTTTTTAATGTTATAAGCAGATATAATAAAACAAAGTTTATATTTTACATGCATTTTTATTGTGAAATAGAAGATATCAAAAATGTGGTGTTTGTACAATAGTCAAATGTTTCAGGTTATACTTCTAGATCTCCTGGGATGAGAATTACTTCTTCATTTCATTTCATTACTTCTTCATTTCAGGGGTGCATTGGGGGAAAGTTTGTGGAATCTTGACCCTTGGGGCTTGTTGGGTTGGGTTCCCCAGAAGTAGATCCTGAGGCCAGCATTCAACTGCATAAATTTACCGCGGGCATATGCTATAATAAGTGAGGGGAACAGGATAGGAAAGGGGAAAGAGCTGACCAGTGATGTGGTCTCAAGGAATATGATCTGATTTACGTGGTGATGAATAAATCACATCACAGACTTGACTCCCCTTGAAGCAAACTGGCTGGGGTTTTGTCCCTCTGTATCACTTAGTCCCTGATGCCGGCCACCCCTACATGAAGCCTGAGTGGGAGAGGGGAGGACAGTGCGTGTGCGTGTGTGTGTGTGTGTGTGTGTGTGTGTGTGTGTGTGTGTGTGCGCGCGCGCACGCACGTGTGTGTGGGTGAGTGGATGGGCAATCCCCAGAAAGAGGAACACCTGTGAACTCTAGGCAGCCAGTGGTGTGCTGGAGTCAGCTCACACAGCTCTCAAGAGCTGACTGTGCGTACTGCTTCCCAGCTCCTGTTCAGTTACCTCATCCTGGTAGCTTGGAATCTGCCATGAGGACAGCATCTGCATCATGAAATTCAGTAGCAGCTACCGATTGGAGGCTTTTACGTGCCCACTAAGAGCCAGTTGTTACACATTAAGCAGCACACCCTGGGCCAACACTCTCTGCAGGACAGGGATGGAGCCCTGGCTGGGGAAGGGATCTGGACAGGGCACCGGGAGCATCTGCTGCACAGCGGTTATGGAGACCGTGCCCACAAATGATCTCCCCAACTAACCTGTAAGTTGATAAGCCATTCTTTTAGAGCTGCTTTTCTTAACCCCTTTCAAAATGCATACGGCATTGGGTAGTATGGAGCTAGTAATTCACAATGTACTGATCAAAGCAACTGATTGTTTTTTAAGTGCAAGAGAAGACTGGAGTGGAGGTGAGGAAAGACCTTGTAAACCAAGTTACCTGCAGGAAGGGACGAGGAAAGACTTACTATGGTGCTTAGGGACAGAATTCAGGATAATTATGGTATTATATAGTGTTTTCTGGGAGATAATTTCCAGAACTTATCTAAAATACAGCACTTTACTGAGATGATGGAGGGTTAAACATTTTACTAAAATGAAAAATTTATTAGGGAAAATTTAAATGTATACACAGAGAGAATAGTGCAATAAACTCTTACCATTCAGATTCAACAGTTATTAATTTATGGCCAATCTTGTTTTATCTAAACCCCTATTCACTTTCCCCTGGGGAAAGGGGAAATTTTGAAGACTTGGTTAATTCGTTAAATGTTGAATGTGGCCTAGGAAAAGAAAAGCCAAATTCACCAAGTCTGGGGTGAAGGGTTTTGAAGACTGAGGGCACAGCAGCTGTGACCACTTTCCCTAACATATCAGGACTGGCAGCCGTCACTGGAAGGCCTAGGAATGCAGTACATGGGACGTGTATGCTGACTAACTGAAAAGGTATTTTTATTAATCTCCAACTCCTCCTAAAATGAAGAGCTGGTGATGGAACAAAAAGGGGAGAGTCCCACAGTTCCTGTCATAGGAGCTCAGTGTTCTCTGCTGTAGAAATCCTGCTTTTCCTCTGGGCTCTTTGTTTTTATTTAGAGATACAAACACAAAATATCAGGACCATTCTGAGTACAAATTCTGGATGATTGCCCACCCTGAGAACAAAGATTGTCACAACCATAGTAAAATAAGAGTCTCGACTCTTATTTGATGGGCAAAGAAATTTCCTTAGAAAACAGAAACAAGCTTGGGCCTTCGCAGGATGGTTTTCTTGTACTTACAACGGTGGGTCATGGCCTATGTACTTTTTTCATTATTGTCTTTGGGGATTTGAGATGAGAGATGGCCTCTGGCCTTTTCCTAAGAATAGCAAATTTCCTTCTCTCTTTTTTCTGGCCCTTCCATCTCCCCTCTTACTGGCTGCAATCCCAAAGATAACGCACATGTGTGTTCCTGACCAACTGGAGTTGAAAGAATAAGTAATGGGGCCCTGGGAAGAGAATGTTTAGAAATCAATAATTAACTCAGTATGGATGAATAAGCCAGGGAATAGAAGACTTGGTTTAGTCATTATATATTTATCACTAGGACCTTCTTTCAAGGTTAGTTGGAAATGGACAAATGACTTAAAAAGTTAGACCGTTGGGAGCTTCAGAAAGCCAGTGCTGGAGTAGATATAATAACAGAAGAGAAACAACTTTGTCTCAATTGTTGTCTTGCTCTTTTCTGATAAATTGGTTGCGACCACTTTATTGGCACTGCCCATGGTAAAGCCTGGCCCTTCGTGCACGTGGAGAACCTGAGAGAGAAGCTGCTCTGATGT